TGGGGTTGCTGAGCGCCGCATTGGCTTAGTCATGGAGGTCGCTCGTACCTCCCTGACCCATGCGGCTGCTCCCCACTTTCTGTGGCCGTTTGCAGTCCGGTACGCAGCGCATCAGCTCAACCTCTGGCCCCGTGTCTCCTTGCCGGAGACTTCCCCGACTCTACGGTGGACGGGAGAGGTTGGCGATGCGTCGCGTTTCCGGGTCTGGGGATCTCGAGCTTTTGTCCGCGACACGTCCGCGGACAAGCTCTCGCGTCGCGCTGTTCCCTGTGTCTTTCTTGGCTTTGTTCCCGACGCGCCTGGATGGCAGTTTTACCACGTCACCTCGCGCCGGGTTCTGGCCTCTCAGGACGTCACTTTTGACGAGTCCGTCCCCTTCTACCGCCTCTTCCCCTACCGCACTGCCCCGCTCCCCCCCCCGCCTCTCTTCCTCGCTCCAGGTGCTGAGGTACCAGACCCCCTCCCCCCTCAGGGTGCCGCTCCCTCAGGTGTGTCCCAGGTAGACCCGAGTGAGCCTGTCGAGGTAGCTGTTGACTCGCGTCCTGCGTCTGGGGGTGCTGAGCCTGGGAGTGCTGCGTCTGAGGGTGCTGAGCCTGGGGGTGCTGAGCCTGGGGGTGCTGAGCCTGGAGGTGCGGAGCCTGGGGGTGCTGAGCCTGGAGGTGCGGAGCCTGGGGGTGCTGAGCCTGGAGGTGCGGAGCCTGGAGGTACTGAGCCTGGAGGTGCGGAGCCTGGGGGTGCTGAGCCTGGAGGTGCGGAGCCTGGAGGTGCGGAGCCTGGTGGTGCTGAGTTTGGACGTGCTGAGTCTGGGGGTACTCCATCTGGAGGAGCCCTCTCCTCCCAGCAGCTGCAGGAGAGGTACCTCGAGTACTGCCGCCTCCGGAGAGGTGCTTCTGGAGCTCGTCCCGGTACTTCCCCTCCTACCCAGGAGCTCCCCCCCATTCAGGTGATCCGCGAGTGGTACACGCGGCGCTGCAGTCTTCGTAGTGGTACTCCTGGTGCTGCGGACCCGAGCGGTGGTGCTGTTGCTGGTGCTGAGGACCCGGGCGTTGGAGCTGCTGCTGGTGCTGAGGACCCGACCGGTGGCGCGGCTGCTGGTGCTGAGGACCTGACCAGTGCCCCTGCTGCTGGTGCTGAGGACCCGGGCGTTGGAGCTGCTGCTCGTGCTGAGGACCCGACCGGTGGTGCTGCTGCTGGTGCTGAGGACTCGGGCGTTGGAGCTGCTGCTGGTGCTGGGGACTCGGACGTTGGGGCTGCCACTGGTGTCCCTGCTGCTTCTGGAGACGCTGCGCGGCCGCGACCGTACTTCGTACCGCTCCTTCAGCAGGTTCTTGGTCAGGCTCCTCCTCCTTGTCCTCCTTCCTCCGTCGAGTGTCCTCTGCCTGTCCAGCCGCAGTCACAGTTACCGCCTGTCTCGCCTCTCCCTGCTCCCTCCCCTTACGCTGGTCCCACAGGAGGTCTTACAGAGCGTCGTGAGCCTGAGTCTCGTCCTGCGTCGCCTGTTCGTACTGCTCGCACTGGTCGTCGTGTCCCACGTGAGCGTCCTCCTCCTGTCCCTGGCACTCACTACATGACTCTGCGTCCCTCCACTGCTCCGCAGCGTGTCCCGCTGCCGTCTCCTCCTGCGTCCTCTCTTCCTACTCTTCCTGACCCGGAGTCTGACTCCCGTCGTGCTGCCAGTCCCACTGTTACGCGTCTCCTCGCTACAGTTGTCACTGACCCGACCTTTGAGTCCTCTGCTGCGTCTGCTCTGGTCGCTGAGTTGGTTGACTTTGCTGCTCGCTGTCGCCTAGACTACGCTGCCAGCCTTGTCGCTAGGTCTGAGTCTGCGTCTGCCTGTCCTCCGTCCGTCGGGGGTGAGTGTGCCCTCGGCACGGACGTCCTTGAGGACAGACAGGAGGAGTTCCACTGCCTTACTGCTGCTTTGCCCCGTCTCGTGTCCTTGCTAGTTGCCCCTGAGGGAGACCCGGATGCACCAGACATCCCGACCCCACGCTCTTACGCTGAGGCGATGGCAGGTCCCTACTCCTCTCAGTGGCAGACAGCCATGGACGCAGAGATGGCCTCCTGGAAGTCCACAGGCACCTACGTAGACGAGGTTCCCCCTCCTGGGGCGAACATCGTCAGTGGCATGTGGATTTTCAGGGTGAAGCGGCCGCCGGGTTCTCCACCTGTCTTCAAGGCGCGCTACGTGGCTCGAGGCTTCAGTCAGCGAGAGGGAGTAGACTTCTTTCAGACCTTCTCCCCCACCCCGAAGATGACTACTCTTCGGGTGCTGCTGCACATAGCCGCTCACCGCGACTACGAGCTTCACTCTCTTGACTTCAGCACTGCTTTCTTGCAGGGCAGCCTGCACGAGGAGATCTGGCTGCGCCGCCCCCCTGGCTTCACTGGGTCATTTCCTCCTGGCACCCAGTGGAGGCTTCAGCGGCCGGTCTACGGTCTCCGCCAGGCGCCACATGAGTGGCACGACACACTGAGGACGACACTTGCGGCTCTTGGGTTCGCTCCCTCTACTGCTGACCCGTCGCTGTTTCTACGCACCGACACCTCGCTGCCGCCGTTCTACATCCTCGTGTACGTCGACGACTTGGTCTTTGCCACTGCTGACACCGCGGCACTCGCTCACGTGAAGTCGGAGCTGCAGAGGAGACACACGTGCACAGACCTGGGTGAGCTGACGAGCTATCTTGGCTTGCGGATCACCCGGGACAGAGCGCGGCGCACCATCACCCTGACTCAGTCACACATGGTGCAGCAGGTTCTCCAGCGCTTCCGCTTCACGTACTCCTCGCCTCAGTCCACTCCTCTGCCTACCGGTCACTCGCTCTCAGCTCTGCCTTCGGATGAGTCCGTAGAGCCGAGTGGCCCGTATCCAGAGCTTGTGGGCTGCCTCATGTACCTGATGACCTGCACTCGACCTGACCTTGCATACCCTCTTAGCATCCTAGCACGCTATGTCGCTCCTGGCCGTCACCGGAAGGAGCACATGGATGCTGCTAAGAGGGTGTTGCGCTACTTGTGCAGTACGTCGGGCATGGGGCTTGTGCTTGGAGGGCGAGACCGGGTTGTTCTCACAGGGCACTCAGACGCTTCTTGGGCAGACGACCAGGCTACTCAGCGGTCGTCCCAGGGTTACACCTTCAGCCTTGGCTCTGGCTCAGTTTCTTGGCGTTCTACTCGCTCTTCTTCTGTTCTCAGCTCCAGTTGTGAGGCTGAGATCTACGCCACAGCCATGGCTGCTCAGGAGCTACGCTGGCTGACCTACCTGCTGACCGACCTCGGAGAGCGGCCTCGTTCTCCTCCAGTGCTGTACGTTGACAACAAGGCTGCCATTGCCTTGTGTGAGGAGCACAGACTGGAGCACAGAACGAAGCACATCGCTCTGCGGTACTTCCTTGCTCGAGAGCTGCAGCAGCGTGGTCAGCTTTGTCTGCGTTACGTGGCCACGGAGGCCAACACTGCTGATGTGTTCACCAAGGCGCTTCAGCCTTGTGATCATCAGCGCTTTTGCACTCTACTAGGCCTTGTACCTACTGGGCCTCACTTGCTTACCTCTTGACCTTGCTTGTACTGTGATCACTATATATATATGCCTACTTGTTTACTTTTGCTAGGTTGTGATCACTGTATCTCTTGCTTTGTTATAAACCTGCATGTGAACTGGTCTTGTGACCGCTTGCTTGTGCTCGGAATTTGTGTGGAATCCTTGAGATCCACCCTGAGCTTGCTGTGCTTTGCTTTGACTGGTCTTGTGACCCTGTGGTTGTCTCCCACTGCGCCTATGGGGGTGTGTCAAACATTGCATGTTTATATTGTCTAGGCTGTAGTGGGTTACACCTTAGGGGGTACACAAAGTTAGGGTTTCCTACTTGTACCAAACTCTGTTCTAGTTCATCCATTCCTGCTCAGTTATTTCTGACACTTCCTCGTACCTTCTTGCCCTCTATAGTAGCTCATTCATTCTCATGTGGTACAGCGTCTCTGCCTCTCCTTCTAGTGTGTCCGGCAGACGCAAGAAGAAATCCACTGGGTCCATGCCGCTCTTGTCACACCGATATTTCACATTCCCTATTTGCATCAGATAGTTTTTGAGCGATGGCACCGAGTGTTGATCCCCCAAGAATCTGGCTGGTACCTTCACCCTTGGTGGCGCGGCCGCGCTCCCGCGCTCTCCTCCCCCGGATTCACCCGTCTCTCTGGACTGCCCCCCCATTGTGCTCCCCATCCTCTGGCTCTCTCCTTGCCTTCTCGCGCTTCTCGAGCCCGCTCTGCTCCATGCGCCAGGCTTCCAGTCCTGGTTCTGCTTTCCCGTAGGCTACTCCTTCTCTCGACGTACGGGCCTCCAGGGCTCCTCTGTCGTCCAGTCCACTCCCATTGTCGCGCAGGCCAGCGACACGACACCCACTCTTCACGGCATGTCTCCCGCACTTGATGCCTTGCTGGTGGGTGCGTCCATTCGTCTCTCTCCCAGCCATGCCGCTGCTGGCCATCTTTCAAGCGCCTCGCATCGACCCGCGGTTCCCCTCGCTCGCGGCGATAGTCGGGCGAAAGCAGAATGCCGTAGGACCTCCATTCCTGCCACTCCCACCGGCGCGGTGAATGCGATTCTTCCTTCCGCCGTTCTCCCATCCGCATGCGCGGCTCTGGTGATCGTGACTCCACGTTTCCTCTCCCCCTTAGCGGCTGCTGACGATAAGGCGAGCGTGACCCATCCTCCCGCCTTCCTCCCCGTAGCCGTTCTCTGGGTGGTGAGCGCCCTCTGCCGCCGTGCCGCTCTGCACCTGGCTGGCGTTCCCCTGGCGAGCGCATAGATTCCTCCCGCCGTTCCACCGCCCAGCGGTGTTCTCCCGCCTCGTGCGCACGTTCTTCATTTCTTCTCCGCGCGTTCCCCGCGCCCGCGACTTGTTCGAATTTTCCCCGCGCCCACGAAGCTCCTGCGGCAATGCGTCATCCGGGCAGCGCTCTCCCATTTGGTCGAGCCGTTCCACGCATCGCTCCTCTCATGCCTCCCTCGGCTCCTCCGCTGCCGCCTCGCCTGGGCCGGCGACTTCGTCCGACGGCGCGGATTCCTCCTCCTCGGCTATGGCGCGGTCGTCATTGTCCGCGCCTGTCTTGTCATCGCCGTATTCCTGGTCCTCGTCCCCACCTCTTGCACTTCCATCTTCCGCCTTCTCATGCGACGGGTCGGCCTGCTGTGCTTCTGCTTCCCTGCCGGCCTCAGAGCCTCTTCCCCAGCCGTGGAGAGGCTCCTCTCGCCTGTGCCACCGACCTCGCTCATCGCGTCGCCATTCCCCGTCTTCTGAAGAGCGGAATGTCCCAATCTTGCGATGGCGACCACAGTCGCCTTCCATCACAAAAAACCCGGTTCAGGTTGGAATGGGTTTTGGAGGTTTCGAGGGTGGATTTGACCAATATTGGCTGGCTTGACTTTCCGCTTGATTTCCGACGGAAAACCGCTGGCTTTCGGACGGAAATCACTGGGCCAGGTTGTGTTTGGCCGAAAAGTTGAGAGGAAACCGAGTCGTGTCAGGCTTCACTCGGCGCCTCTTGAGTTCCGGCGGATTTCGGGCGGGAATGGGATTGGGGGCGGCGCTATCACGACATGTGCAATACCGATTATTTGAGATGCTCACTGTTTTCGCGTCTCCCAAGACGAGTAGTATATTTCTAATCATATAATACAAATTAAAAAATGCTTTATGAGAATAACTTGTAATGTAGAAAAACATTGTACAGACAATGAGAACATATCATTTTAATTGATTTCATATATTCTATAAACCAGGAATGTTCTTATGCCGAAAAGGTTGGATTTAATTTAACGATCGTCGGCGACAATATTAAATCATGCTACACAAAACTACGATGATAATTCAAAAAAATTGCTACATTCCAATTATGTTGGAAACATAGGGTGCAGCGTTGTAAGATCATATGGTGTTTTAGGACAACTAAGTAATGTGCAATGATAAACATAGGCGACGTTTTGACGTACGATTAAAATGTTTGACAAATTTCTTCTGGTGCTTCAAATGTTTAGTATTTTTCAAGCATGCCAGGGTTAGGTTGGTGCCACTCGCACCACGTAGTAGCAACATATGTCATTTCAAACTTTACATCATGAGAAACTGTGCAATCATAGGCCGGTGTGCAACGTACTGCCGTATCGTCGTCCGTTCGTCGGTTGAAACAAGGTTTCTCTTGATCGTTCATGCATTTACTGTATCTGCAAGCATGCTAGACATATTTGGTGCCATCCGCAGCAACTGGTAAGAAGATATGGTGTTACAAACAATTGAGCAGGGAAATATGTGCAAGGATAGGCATGTGCGCAACGTGGTGTTGTATTAACGTACGATGGTAATTTTAATCAATGTTTCTCTTGATCATTCATACATTTTCTATATTTGCAAGCATGCTGGACAGATTTGGTATCATTCACAGCTCGTGATATAAAGATTTGGTATTTCAAACAATTGAATACGGAAAACTGTGTCAGAATGTTATTATTGTCTAGCCTGTAGTGGGGTGCTCTATAGCGAGTACAACCCAGTTAGGGTTTGCTATATGTACCCCAACTGCTGCTAGTGAAACCCCTCTCCTTTCAATCATTCTTGCCTAGTTCTTCTAACATGCTATCAGAGCAGGACGATCCAGATGGGTCGATCCTGTGGGTGGGCCCCACCACCTGCTTCCGCTGCTCCTACTACTCTTTGTGTCGCACGCCCCGTGGCGTGCGACGGATTTTTCATCCCGCCGCGCGCTCGGGGCGTGCGGCGGTTTTCTCCCCGCCGTGCGCCCCGAGGCGCGCGGCGGTTTCCTACCGTGGGGAGCCGCACGCGACCCCCCGCGGCCCCGTTTTCCCGTCGTGCCGCCCTGGGGAGCCGCGCGCGACCCCCCGCGGCCCCGATTTCCCGTCGTGCCGCCCTGGGGAGCCGCGCGCGACCCCCCGCGGCCCCGATTTCCCGTCGTGCCGCCCTGGGGAGCCGCACGCGACCCCCCGCGGCCCCGTTTTCCCGTCGTGCCGCCCTGGGGAGCCGCGCGCGACCCCCCGCGGCCCCGATTTCCCGTCGTGCCGCCCTGGGGAGCCGCGCGCGACCCCCCGCGGCCCCGATTTCCCGTCGCGCCGCCCTGGGGAGCCGCGCGCGGCCCCTCGCTGCCCCGTGGTGGCGTCCTGGGGGCCGAGCGCCGTCCCCCTCGCCGTCCCCCGCGCTCCTTCCCCCGTTCCGCCCGTTTTTAGGGTTTGGGGGTGAGGAGTGTGGGGGTGGCAGCTATGGGGGTGCCGTGTGTGTGCGCCGTCCCCTGCTCCTCCTCCTCCTCCGTCTCCCACTGCTGCAGCTGCCGCTGAGGGGGGTGGATGTGTGGGAGCCGAGGGTTTAGGGTTTAAGGGGGGTGCCGTGGAAGTGGAGCTAGGGTGTCAGCAGGGGGTGTGTGAGAGGGGCGTGGGACGGTCGGGGGAGGTTGCGTGGAGGTAGCCGTAGTGACGTTAGCAGCGCCAGTAGTCCGGATGCCCTCGCGCGTTTCGGTAGCCCAGCGAGCCTGCTTCGCCAGTCGCCTGTGGGTCCGTTGCTCCTGTGTGTGCTCGTCGTAGCCGCGGAGCCAGATACTCCCGTAGTCCGGTGCCCTCGTGCGCTCGGTAGCCACTGTGCGCGCCGCTCCTGTTGCCCGTGTGTCTGCAGCTTCAGTCGGCGCCTTTCATCTTCTCGCCCTCACAGTTTCTCCTCCTCCTCACTTGCCCTCTATGATCACCTCTAGCTTTGCTTATAATTGTGAACTATTGCTATGCCTGCTCATTGTACTGATTACACCCCACTTTGGCTATGGGGGTGTGTCAGAATGTTATTATTGTCTAGCCTGTAGTGGGGTGCTCTATAGCGAGTACAACCCTGTTAGGGTTTGCTATATGTACCCCAACTGCTGCTAGTGAAACCCCTCTCCTTTCAATCATTCTTGCCTAGTTCTTCTAACAAACTGTACATTGATATGCCTGTGCGCAACGTGGTGCCGCATCGACGTACGTTTGTCAGTTTAAACAAGATTTCTCCTGATCATTTATACATCTAACATACTTGCAAGTATGTTGGATAGATTTGGTGTCATTTGCAGCACGTGGTGGGAAGATATGGTGTTTCAAACAAATGACCAGGAAAATAGTGCAAGGATAGGCCTGTGCGTATCGACGTACGTTTGACGTTTTAGACAAGGTTTCTCTTAATCATTCATGCATTTACTCTATTTTCAAGCATGTTGGATATATTTGGTATCATTCGCAACACGTGGTAAGATGATAGGTTGTTTCGCCCAATTGAGTACGGAAAACTATACTATGATATGTCTGTGCACAACATGGTGTTGTATCAATGTCTGTTGTCAGTTCAAACAAGGTTTCTCTTTATCATTCCTTGTTTTATTATATTGGCAAGCATGCTGGACAGATTTGGTATCATTCGCAGCACGTGGTAGGAAGATACCGTGTTTCAAACAATTAAGCATGGAAAGATGTGCAAGGATAAGCCTGTTCGTCACGTGCTGCCGTATCGATATCTGTTTGTCGGTTTAAACAAAATTTCTCTCAACCATTCATACATTTAGTAGTGCAAGCATGCTGGACAAATTTTGTGTCATTCGCACCACGTAGTAGGAAGATGAGCTGTTCAAACAATTGAGCAAGGAACATTGTACAAGGATAGGCCTTAGCTATATGCAATTTCGTTTCGACGTTTTATTGTTAGTTTTAGAAGGATTTGTTTAGTGACACTTGAAACAGATATCCTACATATGAAACCAATAAATACTTCTTTAATTCCTCGTGTAACAACATTTTGAATTATTAAAAAACTCATTATTTAGAGTGTAAGAAAAACCTAGCAGCAATCAAAGTGAAACAGGTTGAGGTTCTCGCAGGAGAAAGGTAAAAACCGCGTATGTTTGTAACAATTTGTGATACTTGCGGGGACAAGAATTTGGATCTTAAAACGCGAGAGAAGCTTGTATCAGCAAGTCTTATTGTGTCGCATTCACTGTTCACAATCTGGAAGCTGCGGAGAGTCACGACAACCCATCGAGTTGGTTATCCTTGTGCAACGCTGTATGCGCGTCATGTTTAAACACGTCATCGGATAAGTGTTCTGTCATTGGTGTAGATTTTCATTGCTGGCGATAGAAGTTGTTGTGATTGGTCCGATACTTCCTTGGCGCGCTGGCAAAATGCTGGCAGCATGCGCTGTACAGCATGTTGCCTAGGAGCTAGGTGTACAAGGTTGCCCAGCGCAACTGCGCTGGGTGTACCATAGCGCTCTGTACACCCAGCGCGCTGTTGCCCAGTGCCCTGTACCACAGCGCGCTATTGCAGTCCAGCGCAACTGCGCTACACACAGCGCAATTGCGCTGGGATGCAAAAAGAGTGCAGCTCCGCAATTGGTGCAACTGCCAACTGCGCAGCTGCTGCTAACCTGCGACGCAAGTGCCAGCAGCGCACCTGCGACTCCCACAACAGCACAACCCACCCAGCATAAGCAGCACCCAGCGCGACTGCGCAAGCCAACCTTCTCTGCTTGGGGCAAGAGCAACTGCAGCTGACGCACCGTGTTCAATGATCCCTCCCGTCATCCTCTTTCAGCGCTCCCTTGGTCACCTTATCATTCATTTTTTTTTTTTAAGTTTTCCTCAGGTGTCATCTTCCCTCTACTCGTAGCTCGTGTCTCTTCCTCCCTTGCACACCGAAATTACTTGGCTAACAGTTACTTACTCAGTAATGTGCAACCACGTTTTTTCGGATGCTCTCAGTTTTTTGTTAAGTCATCGTTTTTTAGTAGCGCTCGCCTCTTCGGTGTTGTTTTTCTGCTGATGCAGAACTGATCAATGGCATGAAGTTTGGCAACACGTCTGGCGCAATTGTTGTTTCTCTGTTGTGTTTCTTACACATTATTTCCCTGGACATAGGCATTTCAGATAGTCGACTAATTTGTTTGTTGTTTGCTGATTTCGCAGACCATCATCTTAAGGCGTACCCGAGATTAGAAGTTATGGTGTCGCCATTTCACGTATCGGTACGTATTTCCGTACGAATTGTACCGCCTTTTTTCTTATGGCTAACGTGAGCAAGTAACGTGATGTTCTCCTGTCAGAATGCTATTATTGTCTAGCCTGCTTTTTTGCCCCACCTGCAACAGCTACTATGGCATTCTGTTATGCTGCTGCAGCAGCAGCAAGGTATGCAAGTTATTCCGTGTGCTAGTAGGTGTTAGTAAACTATTTCTTTGCTATTCCTTGAGATCGTCTTCTTAGGCATTGGCTTCTGTCTAGAAGTTTCTGTTGTATGTACTGCAGTAATACTGGATATCATGTTAAACATTGGAACCATCACACGAGAAATTTAGTTCAGCAAAATAACCAATTAATATCGTCTGAAAACGTTCACATTCTACATTTAATTAAATTCAAAGGTATTAAATACTGGGAAACTAAATAGGGTGTTTAAATTCTTTCGTAATCCAAACACTACAGTGTACTGTGTCTACAGTAAAATGTTTATCATATCTATTGCTCAGAAAATCAGTTTCGACCGATGCGCGGTGGTGGTGGAAATCCGCCGGAAATAAGGTATGCTTTCCGATGGAAATCTTGGAACCCCTCCGAGATGGAAAACCGCTGGAAGATTTAGTGATAATACCAGCGCGCCACTCGTTGGAAATCTGTCGGAGCAGGTTGAGAGTTTTCCGACGGATTTCCATTGGTTGGACAGAAAACCGAACCTAAACCACCTGTTTTCAGGCCCGGTTTTTTGTGATGTCGTTTCCGTGAAACGTATACCTCCGCCACAGCATCCCGTTTGCTGGTGTGACAAATCTCTCGCCACCTGCCGCACCGTGCGTCGAACTGACTTCCCGCCGGCCTGGCTCTACCGGGACCCTATCTGCGCGGAAGGCCGGCCTCCCAGGCGATTGCTCTAAGGACCGCCGGCGCTCCTGCGAGTGCTCGCGTCGCTGCCATTCCTCCTCACGCAGGCTGAAGAGTCTGCCCCAGCGCAGCTCATATTTGTCCATCTCGCGTGCTTACGCTTCTTGCTTGTTATGAAAGAGACTACTCCCTCACCTCGTAGGTTCCCTCCTTGTGGCGTGCCACTGTGTGCTGAGAAGCCCGAGTGCCAACTCCCACTATCATGAGAGAATAACAAGCAAGAAGCATCGAGGGATTGGACGTCAGTGACTTTACCCAACCCCACGCTACACATTTCCAAATGTGCGGCTCGGTGTTGGGCTTGTTTGGTTTCACATTTCGCCCGCCCTTCGGTGCCTTTCTCCCATGATTCCCCAATCGCTCAGTTCCCCCCTGTTCTACCGTTGGTCAAACAGCAACCATGCTATGTTCTACACTATCCTCTATTTCTATTTGTCTATGTATTACGTGCCTAAAACTGTTATCCTAAGTAGCACTTCCTATACCTATCTACTCTTCTCATTGCATATGCATGAAATTCATATGCGGTGAAAGATACTGACGAAAGCCTCTATGTGTGAGTTTCTACAGGACAAGCTGGAGTTTTTAGGCCACATTATTTCAGCTGACGGAGTGGAAATAGACCCGAAGAAGATCGCGACGATTCAAGCTTTGCACTCGCCGACAAATCTGACCGAGCTGCAAAGCTTTTTGGGGTTCATCAACTACGTGCACCGGTTCATCCCCGACATGGCACGCTTGACTACTCCGTTGGCCGACCTGCTGAGGAAGGGGGTTGAGTACACGTGGGGGGAGAAAAAGCAAGCTGCCCTCTCGGCCCTCAAGACATTTTTGTGCTCGCCGCCCGTGCTTCACATCGCAGATCTGCACCGTGTGACCGTTCGAGCTCGTCACCGACGCAAGTGACATCGCTGTGGGAGCAGTACTGTTGCAGGATTTCGGGAACGGCCTGCAGCCAATCGCGTACGAATCCTGCAAACTTCACCCGCCCGAACGCAACTACCCGATACGCAGCCGCGAGATGCTGGCGATCGTGCACGCGTTCAAAGTGTGGCGATGCTACCTGACTAGCGCCGACGTGACAGTACGAACAGACCACCCGATCATTACAGTAACTTCGTGCCCGACCGAATCTCAACCCACGATAGATCCACTGGTTGGACTATCTGGAGTCCAACTTCCACTACACTGTTACGTACAAGAAAGGTGCATCTGATATTATCGACACACTCACCCGCCCTACCGCCCAACTCCACGCCATCCTACTCGCCCAAACCAACCCGCTATTGACAGGCCTATTTTCCCACAGATACCGCACCGACCCATTTTTCACGACCGGAAATTCACAGCAACTGGCAGAAGCAAAGGGAGCGTATTACGTAAAAACCGGCACCAACCGCATCTGGGTATTAGCGTACTCGCCACTGATGGAGCTACTACTGCAAGAGGCACACGACGGGATTACCTCAGGCCATTTCGGGGTAGAAAAAACGCGACAGCAACTGCAGCGGTATTACTACTGGCCGGAGCGGTTGACCGACGTACATCACCGCGTGGGCTCGTGCGTGTCCTACGTGTCAGGTGATGAAGAGCTCGCAAAAACGAAAGGCGGGTCAGTTGCAGCCGATTCCACCGCCCGAGCGCGCCTAGCAGCAAGTTACCATGGATTTCGTCACAGGGTTCCCTTCGAGCCCTGGGGGTAACGACGCGGTTATGGTCGTCGTCGACAGGTTGACAAAGATGGCACAGTTCGCTGCGTGCAAGAAGTCAATCTCAGCCGAGGAAAACGTTCGCCTATTCATCGCAGCCGTTGTTCGCCTGCGCAGGATACCAGTAGCGATTATCAGCGACAGGGGCACGAAGTTCACCAGCAACCTGTGGAAGAACCTCTACAAGCAGTTCGAGACCAGGCTACAGTTCAGTTTGTCGTACCACCCCGAGACCGACGGTCAAACGGAGCGGACAAATCAGACGATCGAGCAATTGATTTGTGCCACGTGCGACGATCTCGCAACATGGGAGCAGCAGCTATCGCTGATTGAGTTCGCGTACAACAACGCCACGTCAGCGACGACGCAGCAGTCCCCGTTTTACCTGAACTACGGGCATCACCCAACAGTGCCCATGACGCCGAGCCTGGACAATCCCATGCCACGCGCACAACAATTTGCCGAGATTCTGCAAGCTGTCTGAACCAGAGCCGTAGAAGCAATTAAAAAGGCCAACGTCATCGCAAAGCGCAACGCTGACTGCCACCGCTGCCCAGTAACATACCAGGCAGGAGATTACGTGCTGTTCGACACACAGAATTTACGCTTGCCCGACGTGCCGAAACTTCGACCCCGCTACTGTGGACCGTTCCAAATCAGCCACATAATCACACCGGTTACCGCCCACCTACTCTTGCTGACCGACTGGTACATCAGCCCATCCTTCCACGTCAGCTTGCTTCGCCCTTACATTCCGACTACAAGCCAGCTGCCTCGTCACCGCCCCCCATCCATGACTCGCCCCGCATCGGAACAGATTATCGAGCCCGAAAAAATCCAGATCCATCGGATTCGTCACCTCACCGGCATTCGGAGGATCGAATTCCTCATCCGCTGGAAGGACCGCACGCCAACTGAGGATAGGAGGGTGCCCCTGGCCAACACCGAAAACCACCCTGCCTTGCAAGTGTACCTCAGGAGCCGGGGTTTTTGCGATATACACGCACTCGCGTAGCGGAGGGGGCTTCTTGAGGGAGGGGGGGGGGGGGGGGGGGGGGGGGGGGGTAGTGTAAGGAATTTTCTCGCCATTCCTTACTGCAACCGTCAACATCGCGTACAGCCGCACCGTTGTTCGCCCGCTACTGCTAACGAGGCTTCGCCAACTTCACGCGCACTGTTGTACCAAACCTTGCACTTCTGGTCCGAACGAGTCGGCCTACGCTTCGGGACTAGCCCGAACCTCGATGCCAGCCTAGCACTAGCTAGCTCGCACGCACCGCGTTACCGTTTGCATGTTTCGCGTATAAATGTTCGCTCATGCCTTCGCTCACATTTTGTACTCGTTTGACACCTTAGTGCAATCCTCGCTACCTAGATCCATTGCACTCGTAACACTTAACAAGTTTCGGTTTACTATGGCGAAGTCCACTATGGCGAGAACATGTGGCGAAGAAACAGCTCGTCTTGAACGCGATGATGAGATGCGCGGTAAGGGCGTGTTATATTTTTTAGTTCAGCCCATCCGAACGGTCCATCGTCCGGACATTTCAAGGGTTACCAAATTTTTTGATTTCGTAAATTTCTTCGTAAGATCAACTGCGACGTCGTTAACGATCGGACTGCTGATGAAACGTTTTGCGTTAAATTGCCTCTCCAAATCGACCGGACGTTACCGTTCAGTAAGTGGACGGACGTCGCAATAACGCAACTTTATTGGTTGACGAACTTTTTTCTTCAAATCGCCTGGCTGTAACCTTTATCGTAACGACGTCGTAATCATGGTTACAATTTCGTAAATCCGATTAATTTTGTAAGCCTGAAAATGTTTCATATACAGCGTCGGACGAGGCTTAGTCCGGACGCTGGATTCGGACTGTCAGATGTTCGGAATTTGAACCATTTTCAGACGGCTGTCCCGCCCTTTACGATTTTTAAAAAATCTAGCACGCCCTAAGGGATTCTGGGAAAAGTTCCACACGGGAAGGAAAGCTGCAGGTAGGGTATATCGAGCTGCAGGCACCGCAAAGGAGCAGACAGCAAGGATCTGGCGGGGTGGCAGCGGCACGAGGGGAGCCAGCCCAGCACCCAGGTCTCGTCCCCGTTGCTGGGCGATAGTTATATGGATCACAAGCGCGCGACACTTGAGTAGGCCGAGCGATACCGCGCGACACTTGAGTAGGCCGAGCGATACCGCGCGCGACACTTGAGTAGGCCGAGCGATACCGCGCGGTGCGCCGTGACACCACACATTGTCTCTTCAACGATTGGGTGGCGGCGAAAGCGCGAGATTGGGACGATTACGGCGGAAACATAAGATGTGGCACGCGAGAGAGATTGTTTGGGCGGTTGCGCTTGTGCTGCTGCTCGTTCTGGTGTCGACACTGGCTCTCCAGCAACAGCAGGTACCAATTCGCTGTCTCTCAGACAAGTTGTCTCGGAGATACCTTGGCACGGATCCAGTACGGGAACTTTGCTATACAGCGCTGAATTCAATCATCTCAAGTCGTTGTACTTTGCGTTGATCCGTGAAGTTGTGTACTTTGCGGTGAATGCACTGAACTGATTTAAGCGTTGAGTTCACTGGCAGTCCATTCAACCATACTCCAGAGTCAAAGATTCGAGTCCAGAATCCGAACCTTCATAATTCGAATTCAGATCACTCTCTCCCCCTCCTTCCCCCCCTCCTCCCACCTCAAAACCGCAGCCCCCCTCTCCCCCCCGTTTCTGCTCTCGCCCTGTCCCCTGTACTACCCGTTGTTGCTTTGCTGCGATCCAGCCCGGTCTGACCTGTTTTTGTCCGTTTTAGCGTGCAGCTGCGATTGCAACACGACGTCGCGGCGTTGAAGTAAACTCCGAGCGTAATAAATGACCCCGAGCTGACGTGCAGGTCAACGCCTGGCGAGACGAGCTTGAATGGGACAACAAACACAGCGCAACAAACGATGGTTTTGGGACGTCCTTAAAACAGCACTTCTGGCACGTGGCTATTCATTCTTTGAAGTCAACTCCGAATGCAGGTCAACGCCTGGCGAGGCGAGCTTGAATGGAACAACACAGCGCAACACAACACAACAAACGACGGGCCTTCTAGCACCAAAGCGAGCTTATTCCGCAGAAGTAGCTAGTCCCTCCCTACACGCATCTCAACTCGCTCCTTCCCCACCCCCCACTTGCCTTCCCCCTCTCCCCTCCCCTTCCCTCGCTGCCACCCCCTTCCCCCTCTCCCCCGCCTCCCCCCCCTTCCCCCCGTTGTGTTTTCACTCCCAGCCGTCTCTGCTGCTGACGGTGCTCCCAGCAGGGATCCTTTCCTCCCTGGGACCTATCCCTCATAGCCCTGCTGCAGCCACTGACAGCCCTGCTGCAGCCACTGACAGCCCTGCTGCAGCCACTGACAGCCCTGCTGCAGCCACTGACTCTGACGGCCGTCAGAAGTACAATCGGCATGACAGTGGGAAGGGCTTCACGGGCAATGGCAGCGCTGGTGAGCAGGGGTTTGAGCTGCCGAATCCGCCGTCTAGGTTCAATGCATCTGCAGCGTGGCACCAGATGCAGCACCACACGGCGCACTCGTGCTGGAGCCAGCAGGAGCGACACCTGTACCACACGGTATGGCGTGAGAGAGGTATCTGTAGCACAGTGTGGTGTAGGGGAAACATCTGTAGCTCTTGGTGTGTTGCGGGAGGCTGTAGCAGATGCTATTAGAGAGGGGAGATGGGGGAGACATGTGTATTATGGTAACCTACCAGTGGTGGGGGGAAGTGGGGAACACCTATAGCACATGGCATGAGAGAGAAACGTTTGCAGCCTGGTGCGGTTGCAGCATGGGGTGTGGACTTGGGAGCCTAGAAAACTCATCTGTACTCGGTCGCAATTTGATATGATATGATTCATTTCAATATCAAATCTAAACATCTTTGCCCACCCCGATCCAATCCCATCCAGGCCAACCAGTCCCCTCCGTCAGCAGCGTTCAGAGATGCAGTGGAGGAGTTTGAAGCAATGCAGAGAGATTGTGTGGGGTTCCAAAATTTAAAGAGTTTGCAATGGGTTAAAGACAAGGCCACATGGTACGATGAGGGTATATGGTGTGATAAGAACACGTGGTGCAATAAGGGCATGTGGTGCGATAGGCACGTGCTTGCGATAAGAGCACGTGTTCCAATAAGAGCACGTGGCGCAACAGGGCATCGATAAGGGCATGTGGTGCGATAAGGGCATGTGGTGCGATAAGGGCATGTGGTGCGATAAGGACAGGTGGTTCCAATAAGGACAGGTGGTTCCAATAAGGACAGGTGGTTGCAATAAGGACAGGTGGTTGCAATAAGGACAGGTGGTTGCAATAAGGACAGGTGGTTGCGATAAGGACAGGTGGTTGCGATAAGGACAGGTGGTTGCGATAAGGACAGGTGGTTGCGATAAGGACAGGTGGTTGCGATAAGGACAGGTGGTTGCGATAAGGACAGGTGGTTGCGATAAGGACAGGTGGTTGCGATAAGGACAGGTGGTTGCGATAAGGACAGGTGGTTGCGATAAGGACAGGTGGTTGCGATAAGGACAGGTGGTTGCGATAAGGACAGGTGGTTGCGATAAGGGCAGGTGGTGCGATAAGGGCATGTGGTGCGATAAGGACAGGTGGTTGCGATAAGGGCAGGTGGTTGCGATAAGGACAAGGACAGGTGGTTGCGATAAGGACAGGTGGTTGCGATAAGGACAGGTGGTTGCGATAAGGACAGGTGGTTGCGATAAGGACAGGTGGTTGCGATAAGGACAGGTGGTTGCGATAAGGACAGGTGGTTGCGATAAGGACAGGTGGTTGCGATAAGGACAGGTGGTTGCGATAAGGACAGGTGGTTGCGATAAGGACAGGTGGTTGCGATAAGGACAGGTGGTTGCGATAAGGACAGGTGGTTGCGATAAGGACAGGTGGTTGCGATAAGGACAGGTGGTTGCGATAAGGACAGGTGGTTGCGATAAGGACAGGTGGTTGCGATAAGGACAGGTGGTTGCGATAAGGACAGGTGGTTGCGATAAGGACAGGTGGTTGCGATAAGGACAGGTGGTTGCGATAAGGACAGGTGGTTGCGATAAGGACAGGTGGTTGCGATAAGGACAGGTGGTTGCGATAAGGACAGGTGGTTGCGATAAGGACAGGTGGTTGCGATAAGGACAGGTGGTTGCGATAAGGACAGGTGGTTGCGATAAGGACAGGTGGTTGCGATAAGGACAGGTGGTTGCGATAAGGACAGGTGGTTGCGATAAGGACAGGTGGTTGCGATAAGGACAGGTGGTTGCGATAAGGACAGGTGGTTGCGATAAGGACAGGTGGTTGCGATAAGGACAGGTGGTTGCGATAAGGACAGGTGGTTGCGATAAGGACAGGTGGTTGCGATAAGGACAGGTGGTTGCGATAAGGACAGGTGGTTGCGATAAGGACAGGTGGTTGCGATAAGGACAGGCGGTTGCGATAAGGACAGGCGGTTGCGATAAGGACAGGCGGTTGCGATAAGGACAGGCGGTTGCGATAAGGACAGGCGGTTGCGATAAGGACAGGCGGTTGCGATAAGGACAGGCGGTTGCGATAAGGACAGGCGGTTGCGATAAGGACAGGCGGTTGCGATAAGGACAGGCGGTTGCGATAAGGACAGGCGGTTGCGATAAGGACAGGCGGTTGCGATAAGGACAGGCGGTTGCGATAAGGACAGGCGGTTGCGATAAGGACAGGCGGTTGCGATAAGGACAGGCGGTTGCGATAAGGACAGGCGGTTGCGATAAGGACAGGCGGTTGCGATAAGGACAGGCGGTTGCGATAAGGACAGGCGGTTGCGATAAGGACAGGCGGTTGCGATAAGGACAGGCGGTTGCGATAAGGACAGGCGGTTGCGATAAGGACAGGCGGTTGCGATAAGGACAGGCGGTTGCGATAAGGACAGGCGGTTGCGATAAGGACAGGCGGTTGCGATAAGGACAGGCGGTTGCGATAAGGACAGGCGGTTGCGATAAGGACAGGCGGTTGCGATAAGGACAGGCGGTTGCGATAAGGACAGGCGGTTGCGATAAGGACAGGCGGTTGCGATAAGGACAGGCGGTTGCGATAAGGACAGGCGGTTGCGATAAGGACAGGCGGTTGCGATAAGGACAGGCGGTTGCGATAAGGACAGGCGGTTGCGATAAGGACAGGCGGTTGCGATAAGGACAGGCGGTTGCGATAAGGACAGGCGGTTGCGATAAGGACAGGCGGTTGCGATAAGGACAGGCGGTTGCGATAAGGACAGGCGGTTGCGATAAGGACAGGCGGTTGCGATAAGGACAGGCGGTTGCGATAAGGACAGGCGGTTGCGATAAGGACAGGCGGTTGCGATAAGGACAGGCGGTTGCGATAAGGACAGGCGGTTGCGATAAGGACAGGCGGTTGCGATAAGGACAGGCGGTTGCGATAAGGACAGGCGGTTGCGATAAGGACAGGCGGTTGCGATAAGGACAGGCGGTTGCGATAAGGACAGGCGGTTGCGATAAGGACAGGCGGTTGCGATAAGGACAGGCGGTTGCGATAAGGACAGGCGGTTGCGATAAGGACAGGCGGTTGCGATAAGGACAGGCGGTTGCGATAAGGACAGGCGGTTGCGATAAGGACAGGCGGTTGCGATAAGGACAGGCGGTTGCGATAAGGACAGGCGGTTGCGATAAGGACAGGCGGTTGCGATAAGGACAGGCGGTTGCGATAAGGACAGGCGGTTGCGATAAGGACAGGCGGTTGCGATAAGGACAGGCGGTTGCGATAAGGACAGGCGGTTGCGATAAGGACAGGCGGTTGCGATAAGGACAGGCGGTTGCGATAAGGACAGGCGGTTGCGATAAGGACAGGCGGTTGCGATAAGGACAGGCGGTTGCGATAAGGACAGGCGGTTGCGATAAGGACAGGCGGTTGCGATAAGGACAGGCGGTTGCGATAAGGACAGGCGGTTGCGATAAGGACAGGCGGTTGCGATAAGGACAGGCGGTTGCGATAAGGACAGGCGGTTGCGATAAGGACAGGCGGTTGCGATAAGGACAGGCGGTTGCGATAAGGACAGGCGGTTGCGATAAGGACAGGCGGTTGCGATAAGGACAGGCGGTTGCGATAAGGACAGGCGGTTGCGATAAGGACAGGCGGTTGCGATAAGGACAGGCGGTTGCGATAAGGACAGGCGGTTGCGATAAGGACAGGCGGTTGCGATAAGGACAGGCGGTTGCGATAAGGACAGGCGGTTGCGATAAGGACAGGCGGTTGCGATAAGGACAGGCGGTTGCGATAAGGACAGGCGGTTGCGATAAGGACAGGCGGTTGCGATAAGGACAGGCGGTTGCGATAAGGACAGGCGGTTGCGATAAGGACAGGCGGTTGCGATAAGGACAGGCGGTTGCGATAAGGACAGGCGGTTGCGATAAGGACAGGCGGTTGCGATAAGGACAGGCGGTTGCGATAAGGACAGGCGGTTGCGATAAGGACAGGCGGTTGCGATAAGGACAGGCGGTTGCGATAAGGACAGGCGGTTGCGATAAGGACAGGCGGTTGCGATAAGGACAGGCGGTTGCGATAAGGACAGGCGGTTGCGATAAGGACAGGCGGTTGCGATAAGGACAGGCGGTTGCGATAAGGACAGGCGGTTGCGATAAGGACAGGCGGTTGCGATAAGGACAGGCGGTTGCGATAAGGACAGGCGGTTGCGATAAGGACAGGCGGTTGCGATAAGGACAGGCGGTTGCGATAAGGACAGGCGGTTGCGATAAGGACAGGCGGTTGCGATAAGGACAGGCGGTTGCGATAAGGACAGGCGGTTGCGATAAGGACAGGCGGTTGCGATAAGGACAGGCGGTTGCGATAAGGACAGGCGGTTGCGATAAGGACAGGCGGTTGCGATAAGGACAGGCGGTTGCGATAAGGACAGGCGGTTGCGATAAGGACAGGCGGTTGCGATAAGGACAGGCGGTTGCGATAAGGACAGGCGGTTGCGACAAGGACAGGCGGTTGCGACAAGGACAGGCGGTTGCGACAAGGACAGGCGGTTGCGACAAGGACAGGCGGTTGCGACAAGGACAGGCGGCTGCGACAAGGACAGGCGGCTGCGACAAGGACAGGTGGCTGCGACAAGGACAGGTGGCTGCGACAAGGACAGGTGGCTGCGACAAGGACAGGTGGCTGCGACAAGGACAGGTGGCTGCGACAAGGACAGGTGGCTGCGATAAGGACAGGTGGCTGCGATAAGGACAGGTGGCTGCGATAAGGACAGGTGGCTGCGATAAGGACAGGTGGCTGCGACAAGGACAGGTGGCTGCGATAAGGACAGGTGGCTGCGATAAGGACAGGTGGCTGCGATAAGGACAGGTGGCTGCGATAAGGACAGGTGGCTGCGATAAGGACAGGTGGCTGCGATAAGGACAGGTGGCTGCGATAAGGACAGGTGGCTGCGATAAGGACAGGTGGCTGCGATAAGGACAGGTGGCTGCGATAAGGACAGGTGGCTGCGATAAGGACAGGTGGCTGCGATAAGGACAGGTGGCTGCGATAAGGACAGGTGGCTGCGATAAGGACAGGTGGCTGCGATAAGGACAGGTGGCTGCGATAAGGACAGGTGGCTGCGATAAGGACTGGTGGCTGCGATAAGGACAGGTGGCTGCGATAAGGACAGGTGGCTGCGATAAGGACAGGTGGCTGCGATAAGGACAGGTGGCTGCGATAAGGACAGGTGGCTGCGATAAGGACAGGTGGCTGCGATAAGGACAGGTGGCTGCGATAAGGACAGGTGGCTGCGATAAGGACAGGTGGCTGCGATAAGGACAGGTGGCTGCGATAAGGACAGGTGGCTGCGATAAGGACAGGTGGCTGCGATAAGGACAGGTGGCTGCGATAAGGACAGGTGGCTGCGATAAGGACAGGTGGCTGCGATAAGGACAGGTGGCTGCGATAAGGACAGGTGGCTGCGATCAGGACAGGTGGCTGCGATAAGGACAGGTGGCTGCGATCAGGACAGGTGGCTGCGATAAGGACAGGTGGCTGCGATAAGGACAGGTGGCTGCGATAAGGACAGGTGGCTGCGATAAGGACAGGTGGCTGCGATAAGGACAGGTGGTTGCGATCAGGACAGGTGGTTGCGATGAGGACAGGTGGTTGCGATGAGGACAGGTGGCTGCGATAAGGACAGGTGGCTGCGATGAGGACAGGTGGTTGCGATGAGGACAGGTGGTTGCGATGAGGACAGGTGGTTGCGATGAGGACAGGTGGTTGCGATGAGGACAGGTGGTTGCAATAAGGACAGGTGGTTCAATACCGGCATCATCAACACTCCTGTCAGTCTGAATTTGTACCTTTCATTTGCTTCCCCGCTCTCGACATTCATAGTGCTCACATCGTGCGCATCAGTAAAACATATTTCATTGCCCGTGATGATTTTTTTAAACGATTTTTACGGCAGATAAAATCAACCCGCTTCTTTTCTCCTCTGTACCCGTCTGACGTGTCCCTTCCCTTCTCCCCCGAGTTCACAACCCATCCCTCATGCCTTCACAGGAACAAGACCATCCCTCGATATGGCCGCGACAGGAAGCAATGTCGCTACATTTCAATTCGTGATATAAACAGGGGTAGGGTGTGCTGTTAGTGAGTTCGTGCATGGCCTGCAGTCCATGTGTCTATTCACCAACCCCCACTTCACTGCCAGTGCCAGATAACACCTCTCTCTCCTGTCCATGTGTCTATTCCTCAACCTCACTGCTTGATAACACATCCTTCCCGAATCCTAAACTCACTTGCATCACCTTGTTTCTATTGTAACCTTACCTGACTTGACCTGATCAAATTTGGTCTGATCTGGTCTTATCTGAGACGATATGATCTGATCTGATCTGTTCTAATCTGATGCGTGCAGGCTTGGGCAACAGGATTACATCATACATTGTGTCGTTCGTGTTGGGTCTTCTCACACATCGAGCCATCATCGCACGGCCAAATGCCTTCCTCATTCGCCGCTTCTGCAACCCCTTCGCCCATGCCAACGCCACCTGGACTGTCCGACCCAAGATGCATAGGTAATTCCACCTATGCAGTGCAAGGTGCACAGCACTGCTGTGATATACTGGAAATATTCTTGGAAATTCTCAGAAGTATCTCCAATACAGCGTTTCTGTGCTTCTGTGACAAGCGACTGGTCGCACAACGGTGGCTACTGGTAGCATAGCAGTGCATCGCATAGCAGTGCATCACATAGCAGTGCATAGCAGTGCATCGCATAGCAGTGCATCGCATAGCAGTGCATCGCATAGCAGTGCATCGCATAGCAGTGCATCGCATAGCAGTGCATCGCATAGCAGTGCATCGCATAGCAGTGCATCGCATAGCAGTGCATCGCATAGCAGTGCATCGCATAGCAGTGCATCGCATAGCAGTGCATCGCATAGCAGTGCATCGCATAGCAGTGCATCGCATAGCAGTGCATCGCATAGCAGTGCATCGCATAGCAGTGCATCGCATAGCAGTGCATCACACAGCAGTGCATCACACAGCAGTGCATCACACAGCAGTGCATCACACAGCAGTGCATCACACAGCAGTGCATCACACAGCAGTGCATCGCATAGCAGTGCATCGCATAGCAGTGCATCGCATAGCAGTGCATCGCATAGCAGTGCATCGCATAGCAGTGCATCGCATAGCAGTGCATCGCATAGCAGTGCATCGCATAGCAGTGCATCACACAGCAGTGCATCACACAGCAGTGCATCACACAGCAGTGCATCACATAGAAGTGCATCGCATAGCAGTGCATCGCATAGCAGTGCATCGCATAGCAGTGCATCGCATAGCAGTGCATCGCATAGCAGTGCATCGCATAGCAGTGCATCGCATAGCAGTGCATCGCATAGCAGTGCATCGCATAGCAGTGCATCGCATAGCAGTGCATCGCATAGCAGTGCATCGCATGGCCACACAAGTTTTGAGATGTGTCTCAGAACGCTTTGCAGTGCATCGCATAGCAGTGCATCGCATAGCAGTGCATCGCATAGCAGTGCATCGCATAGCAGTGCATCGCATAGCAGTGCATCGCATAGCAGTGCATCACACAGCAGTGCATCACACAGCAGTGCATCACACAGCAGTGCATCACATAGCAGTGCATCACATAGAAGTGCATCGCATAGCAGTGCATCGCATAGCAGTGCATCGCATAGCAGTGCATCGCATAGCAGTGCATCGCATAGCAGTGCATCGCATAGCAGTGCATCGCATAGCAGTGCATCGCATAGCAGTGCATCGCATAGCAGTGCATCGCATGGCCACACAAGTTTTGAGATGTGTCTCAGAACGCTTTGCAGTGCATCGCATAGCAGTGCATCGCATAGCAGTGCATCGCATAGCAGTGCATCGCATAGCAGTGCATCGCATAGCAGTGCATCACACAGCAGTGCATCACACAGCAGTGCATCACACAGCAGTGCATCACACAGCAGTGCATCACATAGCAGTGCATAGCAGTGCATCGCATAGCAGTGCATCGCATAGCAGTGCATCGCATAGCAGTGCATCGCATAGCAGTGCATCGCACAGCAGTGCATCACACAGCAGTGCATCACACAGCAGTGCATCACACAGCAGTGCATCACACAGCAGTGCATCACACAGCAGTGCATCACACAGCAGTGCATCACACAGCAGTGCATCGCATAGCAGTGCATCGCATAGCAGTGCATCGCATAGCAGTGCATCGCATAGCAGTGCATCGCATAGCAGTGCAACACATCGCAGTGCATCGCATAGCAGTGCATCGCATAGCAGTGCATCGCACAGCAGTGCATCACACAGCAGTGCATCACACAGCAGTGCATCACACAGCAGTGCATCACACAGCAGTGCATCACACAGCAGTGCATCACATAGCAGTGCATCGCGTAGCAGTGCATCGCATAGCAGTTCATCACATAGCAGTGCATCGCAGAGCAGTGCATCACACAGCAGTGCATCACACAGCAGTGCATCACACAGCAGTGCATCACACAGCAGTGCATCACACAGCAGTGCATCGCATAGCAGCGCATCGCATAGCAGCGCATCGCATAGCAGTTCATCGCATAGCAGTGCATCGCAGAGCAGTGCATCACACAGCAGTGCATCACACAGCAGTGCATCACACAGCAGTGCATCACACAGCAGTGCATCACACAGCAGTGCATCACACAGCAGTGCATCACACAGCAGTGCATCACACAGCAGTGCATCACACAGCAGTGCATCACACAGCAGTGCATCACACAGCAGTGCATCGCATAGCAGTGCATCGCATAGCAGTGCATCGCACAGCAGTGCATCACACAGCAGTGCATCACACAGCAGTGCATCGCATAGCAGTGCATCGCATAGCAGTGCATCGCATAGCAGTGCATCGCATAGCAGTGCATCGCATAGCAGTGCATCGCATAGCAGTGCATCGCATAGCAGTGCATCGCATAGCAGTGCATCGCATAGCAGTGCATCGCATAGCAGTGCATCGCATAGCAGTGCATCGCATAGCAGTGCATCGCATAGCAGTGCATCGCATAGCAGTGCATCGCATAGCAGTGCATCGCATAGCAGTGCATCGCATAGCAGTGCATCGCATAGCAGTGCATCGCATAGCAGTGCATCGCATAGCAGTGCATCGCATAGCAGTGCATCGCATAGCAGTGCATAGCAGTGCATCGCATAGCAGTGCATCACACAGCAGTGCATCACACAGCAGTGCATCTCATGGCCACACAAGTTTTGAGATGTGTCTCAGAACGCTTTGCAGTGCATCGCATAGCAGTGCATCTGTTACGCGTCGCATAGCAACAGCTTCACAGAGCAACAGGTCGCACTGTGGTCGTGCGATTGGAACCCCGTGTTCTGATTACTCACCCACTGCGCCATTTCAGCCATCCAATGCTGAAGGCGAGGATTTGTACAAGACAGCTACCAGACATGCATTCTCAGTCCTTCCTCCTGACTCCCGCCCTTTCTAAATCTCCTCCTATATCCCCCCTTCCCAACCCCTTCTGTCCCCTTCTCAACGCCTTTGCCCTCCCCCCGTTCAAAACGTTCATTCTGCTGTTGTTGACAGTTCCTCCTATTTTCCCCCTTCCCCTATACCCGCAAAACATTCTTTCAGGCTGCTGTGGGCAACAGTGCTGCGGCGGCCCAACGTCAGCATGAGCGCACTTGCCAAAGAGCTGAGCACGCAGGGCAACAGGGTGATGGACGACATGAGGAGGCGTGTGCAAGAGGATGGCACCGTTTGGCTGGACATGGAGACCAGGTGGGTGGCTGCTTGTCTGTTGTGGACCTACAGATGGCTGGACCAGGTGTGGGATGACTGTTTGTCTGCTCTGGTCTGGTCTGGTCTGGTCTGGTCTGGTCTGGTCTGGTCTGGTCTGGTCTGGTCTGGTCTGGTGGAGGGGAGGCCATCCCCATTTCCAACCCCCTGCCATTCCCCTCTCCATCCCCCCTCCCATCCTCTCAACGTGCCTGACCTGAACATCAGGAGCCGTGTCAGATCAGTGAAACCCCCTTGTTCCCCGTCCCATGATAATCCCACTCTCCTCCTTATCTCCTTTCCGCTCCACCGCCATTCCCCACCCATCCCCTTTCCGCCTCCCTGCCATTCTCTTCCCATCCCCTTTCCACCCCCTCGCCATTCCCCTCCCATCCCCTTTCCACCCCCGTGCCATTCCCCACCCATCCCCTTTCCGCCCCCCTGCCATTCTCTTCCCATCCCCTTTCAACCCCCCTGCCATTCCCCTCCCATCCCCCTACCATTCCCCTCCCTTCCCCTTGCCATTCCCCTCCCATCCCCCTGCCATTCCCCTCCCATCCCCCTGCCATTCCCCTCCCATCCCCCTGCCATTCCCCTCCCATCCCCCTGCCATTGATGGGTCATGATGTCAAGTGTGTGTGTCAAGTCAATAGCGAGTTATCGCTAGCCGCGTGTTAATGCGGTCATTTGTGTCTCGCGTGTGGTTTCAATTTTGTCGTGTGTCCCGTGCGCGGTTTCTATTTTGTCCTGTGTCGAACGTTCGGCGTGTCGCAGGTGTGTGCAGCAGACCCATCAAGAACTCAAGGATGAGTTTTGTGATGAAGAACCCGAGCCTTGGTTTCAAGCTTCAAGTGATTTTGAAGCTCGCCAAAAGGGTACACCTCAAGATATTGAAGATAGTTACATTACTTTGTGTCGTGTAACATTACCTTTAGTGTAGGCCCTTGTGAAGGGTAGTTTCGAGACCCTTCGTGGTTGGGGACAGTGTGGCACTGTTCCATACCACTGTACCTCGGCTCTTGGGGTTTGTAGGAGCTGGGAGTAATTCCCAACCCGTAACTCTTCCTAGTTCTTTGTAATTGTGGTTCCTATGTCTAAATTGCTGCCATAGTGCTGTTCGTTCAATCTGACGCTGTGTCATCAATTCTTGATGAAATCGTGCGATCTAAATTGCCTATTGTAGGCAACGTTAAGACGCTCCAGATCCAAGTTGAATGAGGTCATTTGGAGTTGTGCACAGATTGCTATGAACGTTTGAAGCCGCAGTGTAGAAATCCGACTGTGCACTCTATCTTTCGTTCTAGGCACATTTGAGCCTATTGTGACCATAACAACAAGGTAGTCAGCTGCTGAGCCGTTGAGGGGAGAAATAAGAGGAGGAGGAATAGGGACGAGGTAGTCAGCTGCTGCGCCGCTGAAGGGAGAAATAAGAGGAGGAGGGAGAATGGCGGAGTAGTCTGCTGCTGCGCCGCTGAGGGGAGAAATATGAGGAGGAGGGATAATGGCGGAGTAGTCTGCTGCTGCGCCACTGAGGGGAGAATTAAGAGGAGGAGGGATAATGGCGGATTAGTCTGCTGCTGCGCCGCTGAGGGGAGAAATAAGAGGAGGAGGGATAACAGCGTGGTAATCTGCTGTTGCGCCGCTGAGGGGAGAAAATAGAGGCGGAGGAATACAGTAGGGAAGGAGCACGGCTACGGAGCAAGGTTGGCAACCAGCTGCAGCAGTAGAGGAGAGGAGAGAGGCGGAGGATAGAATGAGATGGGAAGGGGAATGGAGGGAGAGAAGAGAGGAGGATGAGGGTGAAGGGGTGGATGGTGAGGAGGGGTAGGTCTTGATGAGCAAGATGACAAAGCAAAGCCGGCAACCAGCTGCAGCAGTAGACGAGAGAAGAGGGGCGGAGGAGAAAGTGAGATGGGGAGGGGAATGAAGGGAGAGAGGAGAGGAGGAGGGTGAAGGGGCGGATGGTGTGAAAGGGAAGTAGATAGGGAGAGAAAATTGGAGTAGGAAGAAGTAACGTGGTGCTTGAAGCACAAAGGAGAGTGTAAAGGAGGAGGGTGGGGGGGGGGGGATGAATTGAGGAAGGGGAGAGCACGGCGGAAGGAGAGGAGGCGCTCAGGAGAGGAAGGGCGGCCACAAGAAGGGCGGCCACGTGGGGCGGGGCAGTCTCAACCAGGGGGGCAGAGCGCGCGCGGGGCCGGGCGCACAACGACGAAACCAGGGCGTGCGCGGCGAAGGTAGGCGCGCGCGGTGAAAATAAGGCACACGCGGCGAAAATAAGGCGCGTGCGGCGACGAAGCAGGGAGCGTGCGGCGAGCGGCAGGGCGTGGCGCATCGACGGTGGTAGGGGAAGGGCGGGGGAGGGGTGGGGGGGTGGGGGGGGGGGGGGGGGGGGGGGGGGGGGGGGGGGGGGGGTGGGGAGGCGCGACGGCTTAAGGGGTCGCGCGGCTGCCCAATGGGGGAATTCGCAACTAAAAGAAAAGGGAAAAAAAAAAGCCGAGATAATAGGAAAGCGTGATATCGTGGGTGCCTAAGGGTGCCTAAGAGTCTAAGCATTATTAAGAGATGTGAATAATGAAGAATTGCCTAGGATTAGGCTCTAGATACCATGTTAAGAGAGTACTTGGAGCCATAGCTAAAGAGGATGGTTCAAGTGATAGACTAACAAGAATGTCGAGATACAAATGTAGGAACCCCTAAATGAACTTGGGGTGTGTTCAGTTCGTGCTAGAAACTAAGAAATGAAATTAAACTGAACTGAAAGTGTATCTCGCTCTAAACATGGCGAAATGACAAAAGAACACCATGATAAATGCCAAAGCGAGATCTAGCCTACTCCAACATTCTTCACACACTTCCCGTTAGCTCACGATTTTGCTTCTCAATCTTGAGCTCCAATTTGTACTCCATTCCACCTTGCGTCCGCATGCTACTGCATCCTAAGATTGTTTGCATGTGATAAGCCCTTTTGGCTTACTCACTTGTTTCCGTCCCTACGTGCTAGCTCACCCCATCTTGCTTGTATGGGCCTGAGTTGTCACTACTTCTCGAAATGAAGCAATTAGATGAGATTCACATAAAACATACAAACAATGCAGCCTATAACTCCCCGATTAAGCAAAAAATTGCGAAGCAAGCGAAGGACTCTCAATTTTTAGTAGCTACCCAACTTCCAAAGGGGATCTTAGAATCCGAAAGAGTCCAATTTTTCTTCTCGGGAACGTTGTGAAGTCCCGAAGCGTGATCGATCGATTTTAGCAGATAGATCAAGTTTCCTTTCGATTCGTTTACCTTTAAAACAATCAAACTACACAGTTTTACGATCACCTCATATAGATAAGAAACCTAGGGAACAATTTGGAATGAAAATACATAAACAGTTAAATAGAATAAGTGCCGAAAGAAAAGAATTAGCCTCAAAGTTAGTCCATTTAAAAAATCATGACTCTGGAGTTCAAATGAAAGTTATTTTTCATTATAAAACACGTTTAAGCAGTAACATTTAATAACTGATTTCTTTTTATTGCTTTAGTTTAAGCTAGTTATACTAAGCAAGCCATTACATAACATGAAAAAAATAAGCTTATGAAGACTACAACTTGGAAAGAGAAACATTTTAAATAATTAAGCTTTGGCAAAAGTAAAAGTGCCGGTCGAAATTATTCGAGCTCTATAACTATATTTCATCGGGGAGGTGGTTGTGATAGTCTCTTCACGTCAGCAAAGAGCCAACCTCCCTTCCTCATCCCATTGCCACTTAGCCATCCTTCTACCGAACCTCTTGCTTGTGCCAGTATCTCTAGCTGGCTCAGACAACCAACTTGCCAACTCATGCACACGCACACGCTAGCACACGAAACAAAACAAACGATCTCAAGTTGTCCTCCCAACCCCCCTTTTGTGTCCCATCCCCTCGGTTACCAGCACACTCGACTCCTTGGCAGCCCTGCTTCCCACCTGCCATCATTTTCCCTGATAACCATCACTTAATAATTATATACAAATGTACAGCTCATACACCTCTTTCAGTCTTCTCCTTATCATGCGACATTATCCTCACCATTTTGTTATTGTTTGACTGCTGCAGCACTCTCCTTCTGCTCACTCAGCTTGCTGGTCCCTCCAAGATTGCACTTCTTGGACTCATACCCCTTAGCACCATAGTTGGCGCAGTCATCGCTGCCAACCGCTTCACCATTGGTGCAGATGCATGATAATACTCGCGTCTGCTTTGGCATAAGGACCACGCCATATCATATGATCTCTCTGTACTCCTCCTCTGCTGTTGCCTTGGGGTTCTCCCCACCCTTTTGCTGCTAGTTGGCCACTCTCTTTCGCCTTGCCATCATCATTGTCGCCACCGCCGCTAACAACTATTTCACCCTTGGTGCTGATGCTTGCTGCTAGTTGCCTCTCCTTAGGTATTGGGACCACAGGGATCTGCCACATTTCATTGTAGACATCCCTATTCTCGTGAAGGTCTCAATGAATCTTCTCGAGCTCGTGTCCATGCCGGCCTTTTGCAACCGCCGCACGGAAATCAGGTTGGCAGCAAGGTTGGGCACCCTAAGCACGTTCTGGAGGCCCACCTTCTTCTTATCAACACCCATGGCCTTTCGCCTCTGCTCGCTACCCCAAAGCCGGTATGGCATGCTTCACTAGTGACGGTTCGGTGAGCAAGTCCGCACGAGTTGTTACGCTATAGGTAGTGTCGCTCCTGCCAGTTCATGAAATCATTACGACATTGACCGACAGGGCAGTTGCAGTCGATACCACCCTTAGAGCATGCTTTGCAGTAGGTGACGATAGACTTCGTCATGGGGTTACCGGCTGGAGCGAGTGGGAACGACGTGATCCTTGTCGTCGTCCGACGCCTGACAAAGGTGGCCCATTTTGCAGCTTGCAAGAAGTCAATCTCAGCAGAATAAACAGCCTCGCTCTTCACTTCACCGTCGTTCAACTGCACAAGATACACACGGCGATCATCAGCGATCGCAACACGAAAT